CCCAGGTCATGCCAACTCACTCCCCTGCTGTCTGGCTTGAGGTCCAGCAGCCTTAGGGGAACTTCAGAGACTCCCTCTGAGATCTCTCCTGTGCCTTTGGGAGTGGTGTCTTGGGGAGGGAGGGGGAAGGGAGAAGCTTGCTAACCAGGGCCCCGGGGACACTGAGGTGCCCTTAGTGTTCCCCATTTGTCACCATGAACCTTCCCGGGGTCTCAGTTTGGCCTTTGACCAATCATCCTGGAAATCTGGCCCTGGGACAGGAACCCTTCTCTGGCCAACATCCTGAGAATGAAGTAAGAATGGTTTGCTCAGATCAGTTAATTATAGCAGGAATTCTCGTGACAAGGAGCTACGTGGTGTTAGCAGTCCCAAAGGACAGACAAGCCAACACTAAGAAGCCCAGGGCCCAGTCACCCTCACAGCCCCGGCCTCCTTTATGCCGGTGCCCCCTCCTCAGTGGGGCCCATCTGCTCAAGCTTGAGATCAGTATCAGCTATGATGCAGGGTGGCTGAGAAAACAGCAACTCATGAGTCCTCTGGCACCTATCTGAGCCTCCTTCAAACAGCCCTGGCAGTCATGTGAACCTTTGGACAGGACTAGTGTCTCTTCTGCTTGCTCTTGTCATCTTCTGCCTTTTGGGGGAACATGACTGTGGCCATAAGCAAGAGGACCAGCAAGGCCTGGGCAGCGGCCAGAGCTAGGAATCCAGGCCCCAGGAGGGAGGGCGTGACCCACTTCCAGGTGTAGGTGAGGAAGAGGCCCAGGCCCCCGGCCAGCAGCATGGAGGCCATCGCCAGGAAGCACACTGCCAGATGCCACTCACCCTCGCTCCTGTGGCAGTGGGCCAGGAGCAGAGGCAGGGGGACAAAGAGGGTGAGGACCAGGGCCCCGTACACGCCGAGCCTGGCCAGGGCCAGGGCGCCCCAAGGCAGCCCCAGGGACTCCAGCTCAGGGAACTGGTGGCACTGCAGGCGGCCCGCACTCTCGTTCCACAGGCAGAAGTTGTAAAAGCCGATTCTCAGGTTGGGCAAGTTGATGAGGTCGCCCGCCTGCCAGAGGAGAGCGTAGAACAGCAGGAAGATGGCCAGGACCACGAGGACCATGATGCCCAGGAACAGCAGCTGGTCGCCCCGCCTGGGTCTGGGGAGGCTCATCATCTCTTGTTCTTGGCAGGGCCACCCTCCTGGGAACCTGAAGGAAGTCACATCAGTCACATCAGTGTCCAGCTCTCCCTTTCTCCCTCCCAGTTTCTTCACAAGCTCATGCTCTCCTTTCTGGAATTCCATAAAAACCTGTGGCAAACTCCCACCCTCTCCCACTGCCGCCTCCAAGGAGTGTGAGGTCACTTGTCGCCAGGACAGGCTCTCCAGGCAGCTCTGAGTGCCTCAGACATGCAGCGTAGACACCACAAGCCCCTGAAGACATTTGTGAGGTTTCTCAGACCCCTTGCCTAGGGGCTTGAAGGAAGAGGCAGATGCTGAGAGTCCTGGCGACCCCTAGGACCACACAGGAGCTGTAAGGATGACCATCGCTGGGCCACAAGCCAGTTAACTCAGAACTTCTGGGGTTGGGGCAGGCGCTGGTGTTCTAGTGTTATGCCCAGAGTTCGGGGTCCCCAGTAATCAACCACCAGGGAGCCTTTTCCGATGCAAAAGCAAAGAGTCTTTATGCAAACCCGGGCTTGGCTCCCAGCCTCTTTCCGACGCAGCGGCGAGACGAGAGACCAGAGTCCCAGGAGAACAAAGGTTATATAGGGCTAGTCATTTGGGTGGGCTTAGGTAAGTGACGTGAGTTACAGAGGTTGGTCACTCTGGTCAGGGTTTTTCAGCAGGGTCTTACAGCACAAAGGTCAGGAAGTGACCAGCACATTCTGAGGCTTGAGCCGTCCCCCACTATAGCCTTATTAGGACCTTAGCTGCATTCCTGGAGCTTCATTGGTCCACTCAGGTGGTGGTTGGGGGAGTTAGGACAGTACTGGCATTCTTGTGGTCACTCTCAGAAAAGGGAGGGGGCTTAGGCTGAGGGCCCAGCCCTACAAGACAAGATGGAGGAAAGTTCTTTGTCCTTCCACTAGCAGCTCTGCTGCTCCTCGCCTGAGCAGGGCTGGGGACCACCAGAGTCCCTGCCTGCTCTGGGAATGCATTACTGGGCTAAGGCAAGATGCTACCTGGTGATGAAATCACATCATTTTAGAACAACTACAGTATTTTTTTTCCTGACAACACTAATATATGTTGATTATTTTTTTTTAAATCTTGAAAAATATTTTTTAAAAGAAAAATATATATAAAAACAACCTTTTTTTCCCCACCACATACGGTAGAACCACTGTTAATCTACCAATTCTTGAAAAATATTTTTTAAAAGAAAAATATATAAAAACAACCTTTTTTTCCCACCACATACGGTAGAACCACTGTTAATCTACCAATATTCAGATTTGTAAATAATCATACCATTAAGCATAATGCTTTTCTTACTGAATATTAGACACACTTTTCAAAGCTGTTTAATATTCTTCAAAAACATAGTCAATGGCTGTATGATAGTTCACGTCACAGAATTACCCATTGCATTATTATTGGACAAATCGTTTTCATTTTTCACCATTATAATCGATAGTCAAGGTAAGTGCTAACTATGTAGCAGTGCAATTATTGTGTCAAGGGGAGAATCCTCTTTAGTGATTTTATTGCGTATTGCCAAATTGACCTACAGAAAACTTGCCTAACCCTCCTCACCATTTTTGAAAAATCCTTTCACTACATTTTAAATCAGTAGGACTTTTCCCAGTCGGCATCTAAAATAGTCTGCACACTCTATATAATTTTTCCAATACGGGACAAAACAGCCCTTTACACAGTGAAGTGCCCAGGAAGCAGTGCGGGAAAACCTGATGAGACACAGGATGCTGAGGCCAGAATGCAGAGGGGCGTCTGTCCTGTCGGTCCCCCAGCCAGGAGAGCCAGGTGGCAGTCAGCAGTGAAGTGAGCAGTGGCCATTGGTGGCCCTGGGGAGAGGCCCCAAGACACAGCCCTGGAGATGAACTTGTGAAGGGACCCCTCAGGGGAGTAGTCCCTCTTTACTAGAGTGAACTGGAGGGTCCTGACCACACCCCACATCTGCTCTGCAAGAGCTGAAAGGGAGCAAATGGAAAAGAACAATCTGACGGAACAGGATGTGGGACAGGCAGAGGGAGAGGACGGCATCTTAGTCCCTACGGCTGCTGTAACAGAATACCATAGACGGGGCGGCTTATAAAGAACAGAATTTTATTCCTCACGGTTCTGGAGGCTGGATGTCCAAGCTCAAGGTGCCTGCAGACTCCGAGTGGTTCAGAGATGACCCCGCTTTGTGTCCTCATGGTGAAAGGCACAAGGGAGCTAGCTCTCTGGAGCCTTTTTATAACAATCCCATTCCCGAGGGCTCCACCCTCATGACCAAATCATCTCCCTAAGGCCCGACCTCCTAATATCACATTAGAAATCAGGTTTCAACATGTGAGGCGGGGGAGGGGCACAAACATTCAGTCTGGCAGGTGGCTTCATTCAAAGGACCTGAGTGAATTCGAATAATGAGAATAAAGATTTATCAGTGACTCCTGGGACAGAGACCCAGGGATATTGCCTGGGGGTGAAGCAGGTGCCTGTTAGGACAGGAACCTAAACCTAAGCACACAGGGAGGGCTCACGTCATGCTTCCACCACCTGACCACGGTCTTCTGCCCATGGCATCTGCGAACTGGACCAGGGAGCTCTGACATGGGGGTGAGGGCCAGCTCAGCGGAGCCCGAGGAGTTGCCCCTGCAGTCACTGCTCCTCAGTCTCTGGAGGCCTGAATTAGTGAAACCGAGAAGCTGAAGGCCCCATTTGAAGGTGGTTGGGGGATTCCTGCAGCTATGATGCCTGCTACAGATTTATCGAATGAAAATGGTGTCTTTAGTCCATTCTTTATCAGATTGAGGTAACAGAAGTTTTAACCAGTTAGGGCCCATCCGGGAGAAATTCCCAGCAGGGACATATTTTGCATATTTAACAAATGTTTGTATAAGCCTCTATCTGCATGTTTAGTGAATGTTTGTATAAGCCTCTATCTGCATGTTTAGTGAATGTTTGTATAAGCCTCTATCTGCATGTTTAGTGAAGTTAGGTATTTCAGGGTAGAAAATAGATTTCTACGATTGGAACCCCGACTTATATCCTTGTGCTATAGGAAATAAGGTTTGACTTGCCTCCCTTGTCCAGAAACCAACAGGTTGGGACTTGCCTTTGTATAAATGCTCCTTCTTATTGCTCCTAGATGGAGCCTGTTACATTTGGGTTCAAAAAAGGCATTGTTAAACTTCTTTACTTGAAAACAGGGCTCCAGGAGGAGATTGCATCAGCCACCTTCCACGCAGCATCTCCAGTCCTTTGTTTCCCACTTCCTGTTTTTCTCTCAACTGACCTTTTGGAGGTTTTCAATAGAGTGAAACAAAAGTGGAACTAAGAAGCCCCTGATCATATGGAGAAGGTGATAGGTCTCTGGTTCCCTTTGTTCTTCTCGCCTCTCTATGCGTGAAGAGTTGAGTCCCAACTCTGCTGCCTGGGGCTCTCCACTGTCAGGTCTGACTTAGAACTTGAACTTGGAATTTTCTAGTGAGGCCCTGCTCCTTTGGGTCTTCCAGTCTTGCTTTGCTTAATCCAGCATCTCTCAGGCTGTCCTCATTCCTGTTGCCCAACTCCTAAAGTCCTGCCCTGTTTTCTGTTCCTCTAAACCAGTGATGTCAGCATTTTGAAAAACCCTAACTTAACTCTGGTGCCGTGTCACATATAGAAATTTTTTGATATTTGCAACCATAGTAAAACAAAGATTTATATTTTTGATATCTATTTTATATATTTAAATGCCATTTAACAAAAAAAAATCAACCAAAAAAATGAGTTTGCGTGTCACCTCTGACACACATGTCATAGGTTCGCCATCACTGCTCTAAACCCTACTAATTCCCCCCAACTTCCCTGGACTACCTCAGCCACACTCTGACTTAGCCCAGAGCTAGAATGTATGCTCTGTTCTTTCCTAGGGATGACTTTCATCTGTTTTCCTCTCCATTTTCTCCCCCAGCATGGGGAAACTCACTTTGTCATTTCATGAACATATCTTAATATGAACATATCTTAACAAGATACCTTGAGGGGAGGGTGCCGTGACCTGCACAGCTAGGGTTCAAGATCTGAAGGAGGGGCCGACGCACAAATGAAAACACTAGACAAGAAATATGAACTTGAAAGGCATGGGAGACAGGTGGAGACCTCTCTCTTGGAGAGGCACATCGAAACCTGGCCTTATCGGCCTTTTATTCAGTTTTAGATACACACCTTGCCCTCAGTAAAGCACGGCAAACAGGTAGCAGACAGACCGTCTCTAAGGTCAATAAAGATCAGTAAAGATCAGTAAGGTCCAGTAAATTTACTGGACATTTACTTTGAGGTCATTAGGTCAGGAAATTGCTTTGAGTCACCACTGTCTCAACACAGCCCTATTAACGCTCAAAGTCCATCAGCCTTCTGTGTTCCTTGGTGCACTCTCATGACAGTATTGGGAAAGTGATGGCTTCCCGCAGGAGGGGCTGTGTTCTATGTCTCACACATACTCAACACTGTGCTGGGCTGGCCCCTGGGACTTACTAGTACAGCCTCCGGGAACTCGTGGACAGAGAGGTTAGAGGCTCATCCTGGCTTCCTTTTCTAAACCTTTCACAGTGACAGTGGATGGACATTTGGTTGGGAAACCCCATGGCACTCTTCTTCTCGGCTGTCCTAAGATGTCTTAGGAGCCTACTCTGTTGTGTTTTTTCGTGGGGTTTTTTTTTTTTTGGCTTTTAAGAATCATAGTAATCGTTGTAATCACAACTATGAGCCTTTTAATCCCCTTTAATGATAAGCCTGTGCTTCCTTCAGAGGGCAAGGGGGAGACTGCTGAATCATTGTTGCCATTTTTAGGTGAATTGTTTTTTGTTCTAAATAAAGTAAATACATGCTGATGGTAGATTACTAGAAATGTGGAAGTCTGATCCATAACCTCAGGTCATAGAAATAACCACTTTTAACAGGATATATGCACCCCTATGTTCATAGCAGCACACTTTACAATAGCTAAGATTTGGAAACAACCTAAGTGCCCATCAGCAGATGAGTGGATTAAAAAAC